AAAAAAAGGTTTCTCAACACGTTGAGAGGTCTGTCACCTGCTGTTTACAAAAACTCTGCCTTGCTAACAACAGCAGCAGCATCTGGTAGGAAATCACATCTTCTTTACTATAAATAAATACAATGCTCCCTGTTGGAAATTGGTCATAATTTTAACAACCAAACTTGTCATTATATTTTACCATACAAATTTTATTTAATTATCTGAGCTGGCATATCAGTATTCTAATTCTAATTTTGATTTTTTTATACTTTCATTAAGTGGAGTAAACACATCTGGATTGGGAGAATAAATTAGGAGTTTTACATACTTTTTTATGGCTTGTATTATCTAAAGAAACAAACAAATAAGAAAATTATAAATGAGTGCTGATGATAAGAAAACAAACTGTCAAGTTGAAGCAACATGTTGTCTCTCTGATTTAAACAGCCTAAAGACAGACAGGATAACCTCAAATCAAACATTAAGTAGAATTTATTGTAACAAGTTATAACATTATATACAATCCAGTGTTCAATGGAAATATAAATTATTAATATTATCAAACCAGATTAAGGCATGTTGATCAAAGCAAAAATAGATATCTAAAAATCTCAGGCTGTCATGTTTCATTAATGAATAATCTTCAAAGAAAAACTGGCACCAATAATTGTGACTTTGTCAAAATACATGAAACTGACATGAAAGTGAGGTGGAGTATGTTACTTGGTTAAACATAACTATGTTATTCCTGTTGTAGGGTTGTCATCATCATCATCATTATCCATGTCATTGTAACTAACTGCTGCTTGTTACCAGTCTATGATGATTCATGAAAGCTGCCAAAGATCTGCATATCTGTTGGTTTTTCATAAGGCCCCAGGTACAATGTGAAAAAAACTATGTGGAGATTCAGGCTGCTACTGCTAATTAAAATTTAAAACCATGTTCTATCCACATTCAGCACAATCCTATTGTCTTATTTATAAATCACATAGAACTTGCAGTAGATTTCTCCATTCCATTCTATCTTTTGTAATCTTTTCTTCTTTTTCATGTTCAACAGTGGTAAACTTTGGTAGAAATCTGATTGTTCATCCACTTCTGGACACTAGTCTTGTTCCAGAACATGAGTTTTGTGTGCATATCTGTTTTACAGATCTAGCTGACTGTTGTTCTTCACCTCTCGGGCAGATGCGCTCCCACTTCGAATGAAACACCTTTAATTAGTTGATTTCTACGACATGTTTGTTAGGGGGCAATGGGTCTATTCTTTTTCTCCTAAAAAAAAACAGGGGCTGCGGAACCTACATCAACATTTATTTTATGGTTTCTCTTGAATGTTCTCCTTCTCAAGGCATCCGTTTCCCATTTTAGTCACCAATAGTTTATTCTCTGTTCCCTTCATATTGCAGCATATAAAAAAAGGTGTTTAAAGGTGAAAAGACTGACTTCCATCATGCTCTGGGTTTGATCTGAAATAGCTCAGTCTCTTTCCACAGTGCACCACAAAAAAGCATGAACTCTGCAGCTCAAGTGATAATCCCCAGACATCTGAGAAACATATCTCCTGTAAACCAAATGATGTAGTCCAAATATGACTCTCTGACCTTCAGAATGATCACTCTGTCATGGAGACTCCAAGTGCAGCAGCATATCTCCCGGGTACAAAACAGCGCATAAGCTATCATCATCATCATTATAAACCACTTGTCGTTAAGCATTGCAGAAAGAAATAATTTGCCACCCAGTGCACGCTGGCTGGCACTGGCTACTGTTAAACCCTGAAGGCGCAAAGTGACTTTAATGTTTATTTTTGTGTGTAGCCATCTTCTTGTAGCTGATCTTGTGAGATGTAGTGCCTGTGAGAGTATTTGCTGCTGTTGCATTCTAATGAGATGGCCAAACTACTTGATTTGCTATTACTCAATGAATCTAGTACAAGGTGTCGTTCCCACAATCTACATAAGCTATCACTACATATATTCAACCTGACTTTTAGCAATGTTAAAACATTCAAAAAACACATCAGATTCCATATTAGATTAACAATAGTAGCCACTATATTTATATAAGCTATTTCATTGTTAACAATTTTAAAGTTTATACTTATCTTCTTCTGCGCTGACCCTTACAAGGCTGGTTTACTATGATGTGTTGTCGTTTACAAAAAGCTACCTTTTACAACAGGCTTGTTCCAGTTCCAACTGATTAACAAAAATTCCAAACTTGATCCTTTTTTTCAGCTGCCCGGAGGCCTGCTTTATGAAGGAATGTTCCTTGGCTATCTTATTCAGTTTCCTATTCTTTGTGATGTGAAGTCACACCTGATATTCCTGTTCTTTGTCTTCCTAAGTCCGGTGTGGTACCTAAGTCCGGTGTGGTACTTGGTAACATGCTTGTTACAGGGCAGTGGGTTTACATTATCTCCCTCGTCCTCCCAAAAATGGGGCCTTGGAACCCACACAGTTTATCATTTGCTGATGTTACAAAAAGTGCAGCATGGTTAAGTTTAGTCACCAGGGACTTACCAGGCAATACTACATGCTGGTGTCATAAACAGAAAGGCTTTCTAAAGAGACAACATGTGGTTCTAAAGCATTTCATGATCTAGTCTCGTGGTCTCCAACCTGGTTCCCCCCCTCCCTTTTGCCCAGGGAGATCATAAAGAAGTTCCAAGGGGGGGCATCAAGCAATGTTGAAAGTGAGTACACTTGTACTTGTAATATTTTGTCATAAAATAATCTGTTATACTAACTTTTTTTTCCCACAATATTAATTATAAATTAATTATTTTTAACTAAACAAAAATAACCAAGAATGTTTTTGTTTTCATAAGCAGTTTGTACATCTACTGTTAAATTGTAATTAATATGATAACACCTACATCTAACTACTGATTAATATTGTGTTCCCCTTTTTGATCGCATGTTGTTGAGTTTGGGGAAGGGGGCGCGCGTGGGGTCATGCCATATACTGAGGCACCACCTCGAAAAGCCTAGAAACCACTGATCTAGACAGATAATTATCGTTGGTCAACACAAATACATATGTATGAAAACAAAATAATCAGATATACAGAAACAGCTATAGCTGAAGATCACAACCCAATGTTTAAATAATCATCTGGTTTATCACCATCTGTGCATCGCGTATGTCCAGTTCACAACCTTAACATTTAAAATAAACTAGAAAATGATAATACAAAAATATATTGACAAATATCCTCAATCTTGATATTATGTCAAAATATATATGAGAAAAATGTTAAAATCAAGTTTGATTTGATGCATAACAACATAACTCTTGATGATCAACAAACACAGAATACTCTCATGTGTCTGCCTCTGCTTAAGCAGATTATCACTTGTTGATTTAGAAGACAGCACAAGACAAGGGAAACCATTACAACCAGTTCAGTTATGCTGGCTGTATCAACAGACATGGACAGAATTATGGCAGATTGATATATTTTTACTGTTTCTATGATTTAAATAGAACAAACCCTTTTGGAACTGATTTACAGAATTTGATCTAGTCAAAAATGTATTTAGTTTAGTTTAAACAATAACAAATAATACTAATGGCTGGTGAAACAAAAAAACTACTATATGATAGAAGAATCTCTCCATATTGCAATAAATAGGTTAGCGTTGTCTGTCTGTCTGTGCCTGTGAGAGAGGGAGAAAGAGAGAGAGAGAGAGAAAGAGAGAGAGAGAGAGAGAGAGAGAGAGAGAGAGAGAGAGAGAGAGAGAGGGGGAGGGAGAAAGAAAAAAGAGAGAGATAAAAATTTTGCAAAGAAAAATGTTGCATCAAGCCAGATGTTTTTCTCCAAAAAAATACATCTGCTCCAAGGTGGACCTAGCCTAAAACTGGTAGCAGGTAAAGTTCTGGGAAGTAAAGGCAGCTGGTATAATGCTGACCACAAACCACAGCGTGCCAACTGGTCTACAAAATATAGGTAAAGGACTCTCCGTCCAGTATGCCTAATGGGGTCCTTTACATTACCTTTATTTGATGTTAATTACTGTAATCACCTTCATTGAAACATGATCTGTGTTTCCTCTTGTCCTTGGTCCAAGGCTTGCAGGTGTGGGTTGACTGCTATAGACTACAGTGTTGATCCATAATCTGACACTGGTTTTATTGTATCAGTGCAGACCATAAAATAATTTTTTTAGCTTCTCATACCGATCCAGCAATTCTTTTTAACACTTTGTGATTCAAGCTCTGTTTTTTTTAAATGAGATCAACACATCATTCGGTACTATTCACGAAAGTCACCCCATATCGCTGCGAGATTTCGTGGTGATTTCTATGGGATGTCCTATGTTCCAGTAGTGTTCATACTGAACATTTTAAATACATCACCACTGATGAGAGCCACCGCCAACGCGCCAAAAAATACAAAAACATCAATGATTTGATACTCACTGCAGGCGCAGAAGTTTAAGAAAGAAATACTGTCTTTGCAATTATAAAAAATTATGGCAGTATTACTACAGAATAAACTATTACAGTAATTGTGGCATACAAGTGGACCCCAAGATCTGTAATTCAAAATTCTGAGCTAATGCTTACCTAATACATTCTATACTTGCTATATAAGTCGACCTCTTAGTTTTGGAAAGTTTTTTTTTAAGTTTTAAAACTTAACTTGCATGCCACATGTTATCTAAAAGTGTTGAGTTAGTGAATGAAATAAATTAAAACAGCTAAAGTTACTGGTCTGTATGTATGTGCGTTATTGGGTTATTATCAAAGAGGCAAAAGAAATAAAGGCTTATATCTGCAACAGAACATAGTTACATGCCATCCTGTGTTTAAGTGAGTCTGTGAAGGCATGCCACTGACTGTTAGACCCGAATCCTATATAAGTTTACAGATTTTTATATACAATTTTCCCTAGTAAAGAATGATTGCATAGTAGATCATCTAATATATTCTCATATTTACATAACAAATGGTAAAGCAATCTTCACTAATGTTAACAATATTCTCTTCATTGTCTTGTAACTGAGTCACAGGGTCGGCTGTGTACCACTTTTCAAAGGTTTCAGATCATCTCCTGCCGCCAGAGCTTCTGGACAGTGTATCATCACTCTAGCGACTAGACCATCAATGTATGTTTTCATGTCAACGTTCTCTTGTTTCAGGGCTGATTGGACAAAAAATAAAAACATATCACTGAAACATCTGTATCAAGTCGGCAATTATTTCAATACACACAAAAAAACAGCTGAATATTTCAACTTCACTGAACTGAACTTTCTAGCCCACCAGGACATAACACAAGCGATAAACACCCGATGACACAAGAGCCACCATGTGGATGAGGATCACCCACGGAGAGGTCCCAGAAACCGCATTCAGCCATTAGACCATATGTATGCCGGGCTAAATTGTGGCCCTATGGCAAGAGCCAGGGTAGGGCTTCAATATAACAAAAAATTGCATCCCACAAGGGGATGATTAAGGTTGGTCAATTTCACAAACAGACAAAGATTATAAACACCCAAATATAACAATGTTTGCCCCAGGGAAGTCACAACATTAATAACCTAATAGTGATCTCATGAATGATAACAGGTACATTTATTTTCAAACTGTGTCTGAAAATAAACCAGGTAAGAGAAAATAACATTCTATGCCCTGTTTCTCAATGTATTCCCCCCACCCCTTTTTCTTAAAAAAAAAAAAAGGACGTTAAAACTTGATGAGGGCAAATAAAAAGTATCTTAGATGAAGCCTAAAATAATGTGCAACTGTCATGTGTACACTATGTGATCATCTTTATGCCAAAGGCTATGGCTTGCGTCATGACATCAAGATACTATCTGGATTATTCAGTAGCTTACTGTGGGCTAGAACTGCTGGTAAAATTGGTGAACAATGAACCATAGAGACTTACTTTGATTCTCTTTATGCAGGCGCAATATTTCTGCCTGGAGCTCTGCCTTTTCTGATTCTGAAAATACATTTATAATGTCAATAGGGACAGAAATGGAACAGAAAGATCCAAGTTAGCATAATAAAACATCCTAGTTACTGACTAGTGTCTCGGTGTACCATATGTTGTACCGTATGTCCTTAAACAGTAACCCAGAGTTCTTTAAAAGTAATGTGAGAATGCATTTGGGCACAGCATTTGCAAGATAATGAAGTTATTTTCATGTAATCATAGAAAACTGGAACCCACAGGGGCACAGAAATAAAGGCAGACACAAAAAAAAACACACAAAGGGGAAGTAGACAGTGACGTTAAAAAGTTGAGGAGGACATGGGGTGAGCAGCACACAACAAACAAATTCTAGGGTAGGGTAATCTAGCATGAGTTGGCTGAGGGACCTATACGCCATTTGAGAAAAAAAGGGCAGAAAAGACAGAATGGCAGGTCTGGAATGCCACTGTAGGCTAAGATTTATGGCATAAACTAGACACTGGATTACGTGGTCAGTATCTTTTCTCCCATAAAATAAATATTCTGGTCTCAATTTTCTGAAGCTAATTCAGTATATCAAAGCCCTATTCACTGCCTAAAAATTCTGAAACCAAAACCAAGCAGTAATCAGTAAGTGCACTAACCGACCACAGTTCTTACAATGACACCAGTCAAGAAAAGTGAGACAAAGTAACACATTTCTGTCAATCAAAAATACAACAAAGTGAATGTTTTCAGATTATGTAAGTATATGTTGGAATGCTAACAGATAGTTACAGTAGATTCTGCATTTGATTGACTTTCATATTTCTCTATATCTTGTCAATGCACACCACAGTTAGATAATAAGATAAGATGAAGCAAACAGATGAATCCTTTCAACTTAAAAACCAAAATCTACAAGCAAGCTCCTCCATCTACCCAAGTGTAGGTCTTCTTTCCTACCAGTGTGTCAGGGAAATGGCCTTGTGGCCTACTCTTTGTAAAACTTCAACTGCCATAGGATTTGTAAAGTATACAACTTACAGACAGGTCCTTCTGTTCTTTTGCTTTATTCAAGAAGGCTAAGGATACAATTTCACTTCCCAAGAGAAAAGAGGGATGTGTGATATGTTCACCAGTTCACCACTGTCTGTGAAAGTTCCCAACTCTATGTCGAGATCTAAAACAGCTGTCTTCTCTGCATAATGCTGATTCCATACACTCATAGCCTTGCTTTCCCTGGCAGATGTTATAATCTGGACAGTGCAATGTTGTGAATTCCCAGGGAAATCCCAGAGAGTTTCCCGATGGGGAGGACAAGGATAACAGACTGACTCGTTATGAAAAATAAATTATAACTATTTTAACAAATGTTTAATTTCCTATGCATATACAACTTACTCTTTCTTTCCTCAACTTCTTTATTAACAATGACTACAGATTCACTAGCCCTGCGTGTGTGCTTGAGGTTCTTGCGGTACTTCCCTGTCGGACTGCCTGATGCACTAGAATCTCCTGATCCAGGCTCACCAAAACTGAACACGCTAGGCAGTGTGGCTGACCCTGATATAGAAACCCTCCTTCGTTGTTTTTCCTCCTGAAAAACAAGAGTATAAGTACAATGCACATAAGTTCCCCTAAAATTTACTGGAGACTATAAGAAAGGTCATTACATCTAATACATGACGAAAGACAATTCCCAACAGCACCCCCAAGTGATAGAGGAGTGGTTAACACAGAAGCTGTGTGGCAAACACAGAGCAGTGTCCATGTTAATAAGTGGATACAGAGGGGGAACCCCTGAGGCTGCAGAACCATTATATATAATAAACATACAGACACATGTATTGATTGGCACTCACAGAAAGAAGCAGAAAGATAGAAGGACACTGTAAGTGGATAACTCTGCACCTGATTAGATGATGGCATTAAAATCTCTGAAAGTTGGAAATCTTTCCAAGCAAAATATAAGCCTGGGTGGATGTGGAAGGCAAGAGAAAATTACCAAATCTTCCTAAGTTTTTAACAAACCAAAGCAGAAAAGAGTAAAATAATAAAAAAAAATTTATGTTAATGGTTATCTAAAGACAGGTTTACTTTCCTAGCTATTGACCTAGGAATTGGCCTATTCTGTCTGATTTCCAACTGTTATTGGTAGTCTTAGGAATCTGGTAGAAATTCTGAAAGGAGTAACTTAGCCACTGTAAATGTGATTAACAGAAATGATCCAAAACACCAAGAATGTATAGATCTGTAGCCGATGCTCAACACTCTAGGAGAGGGCGAGACAGATATACAATCAGACAGTTACTGGTGCCATCAGAATTGCAACTCTTTGTTTGCTGCTGAAGATGGGGACGGAGCGCTTATAGGGGCATCCCACGTGCTATGCTGTTGATTCTTAATTCAACAATCTGTGGACAGGCACGAACAACAACACAGTCTGGAAAGGAATGCTCCTGCACAGCACAGCCTTAAAAGAGCATATCTGTTTACAAGTTGGATACAGGCGGGCAGCCTCTACATTCACTATAGTACAAGACCATAAAACTCAAAAGTGCGAGCTAAAACCATGGAAATAATCTATGGGGGAAACGACATCTGCTCGCTGACATCAACAGTTCTCTAGTGGTAATAAATGTAATGGGGAAAATGGAAGAAATTTAGAAAAACTAATAAATGTGTGTAAGTATGGGACCTATAGGACCTGTTTTTTTGCCTTGTTATGTATTGGGCAACTACTGGATGTAAATTTGCCTAGAAAAACCACACAACAGCCAGGGGATGTTGGGGTTGGTTCTGCAACGTCCTGTAAAGGATACGCAACTAACCTATGTATTGGGCATATAGTTTAAGCCCCATATTTTGTGTATATAAAGTGGCATTCTATTAATGTGTGCTCAATTGTACACCAGTCCTCTTCCTAAATTTCCTAGCATCCATTTTTTAGGCTAAGCTGACTGGGAAACCTAGATAAATGTAAAAAAGAAACTTCCTCAATGGGAGACTGAGCCTATTAACACCAGGTAGAACTCTTCTGTTGTGCCTGGAACCCCTGTTCAGTAATCAAGTTCTTCTTATTTAAGAATGATGTCCACTAAGAAGATTCTTCGAATTTGGAAACAGGAAGAAATAACCAGATGAGTGTCATCGATGGTTGGGTTGTGAATGACCAGGACTAGATTTAGACATGGTTCAAGGCCTTCCTTCTTCTTAGCTTTCACTGGCTGTAAACTTTGATGAAGGTTGTTCATCCACTGCTGGACTCTAGTCTTATTCTAGAAACTGAGCTTTGCTGCATATTTATTTTACAGATATAGTTTTTTTGTATGCAGACTGTTGGTTCCTCGCTTCTAAGGCAAATGAACTCCCACTCTGAAGGAAGTTCCAGGCCAGAAAAAGGGAGTTCTACAATCACACCATCAGGAAGACTGATAAAATATATGTGCATAGCTTCATGGGTTGAACATGTAGAGAAGGATTACAGTTCACACCACTATCCAAATGAGTACCTGTTTTACACTCAAGTGCAAAACTGTTGTGGCTCCCAGTGTGTAGTTAGTAAGGTCCCGATGAACACAAAGAAGACATTAGTATGGTTGATACTTAGGGGCTGCTACCTGAGAATATTAAACACCCTGAGATCACAAGATCTCAGTCTGCATTGCAGACAAACAGAGAAAGCCTAGAGACTCCTTTTAACCGCGAAGAGAGTTATAATTATAAGGCCAGGCCAGCCTACAGAAATGTGCCTTTGTAAAAATTACAAAACTAGCAGCTCTATACTTTTATTAAATGTATTTGTTAACACTATCACAGATAGCATCAATGCATTTAGCACAGCACATGATCAGTACAAGAATATCACAGAATGATTTAACAAACAAAAAATGAGACAGACCTCCTCTGAAAACTGTAAACTGTTGGAGAAATAAGATGCAGACAGTCAGTAATGTTCGGATATGTTATGAGAAGGAATGGACTCAAGATTTATAAATATCTAGATGGCTGCCATATGAGCACAAGAGCACTGACCTGATCAGTAATTATGGTGATCGTGAGAGATGACAAAACATGACCACCTATGTTAACTGACAGGGCACATGATGATGATGATTTTCAGCAGATAGATAATTTACAGTAGGCAGACTCACCGTATTAAATGATGATGTTCGTTGTGCTTTCAAGAGTTCGTTCACTTTATCCTCAGTGATAGCTGAATCATCTTCTGGAATGGGAGAATTCTTGGTGAAGGTGTCAATTAGAATAGAATTTCTGCGACTTGAATATGGTCCTGCCTCTGACGTATCCTTGTCCACCAAGGAACTGAACGATGCTGCCCGGTCAACAAAGGTGAAAATATTTTTGATGACGTTCTGACCTCCTGAAATCGTCTCAATCCACAGATCCCCTTTGCCAGCTGTCGTCGGTTTAGTAGTAACATAAATTCTACTCTCAGATTCAAACTCTATGTTGTCAAGCAAGTCAGACCCACATAGCATCAGTTCCATAATGTCTGACTTGCCAAGGCCAAGATTCCGGCCTTCCAGGGCCAGGCGGGTTCCCCCATGGATGGACGCCATGTTGGGGACAATGTGGGTCACCACAGGAACTTCCTTACCTGTGTTGTCCAAGCCAGAACTCAGGCTAGGAAAACGAAGGCTAAATCTTTTGCCTTTGTTTGGCAGTTGCTCGTTCTCATCCTGGTCATTTTTATCCCCAAAGATGCCTATGTGAAAAATATCATGGAGAGATTTGGACAGTTTTTTGTTCAAGGTAGCTAAAGAGTTGGATCTTTTCTTATCCTCCTTCTCCTCTTTCTTTAGTAAAGTGTTACTTGTTGGAGCAAAACTGTGCCTCAGCCGCTGAAAACCTGTCAGCTGACCAGTTCTGTTAGTCTCCATCCCTGGGATTATCATGCTCGGTTTCTGTTTTGATACATAGCACTGAAAGATGAGTTCTCCTTGTGGGTTGGGGCATTTCTTGTGGGCTTTCAGGGCATGCTTCTTCACCACTCCCTTGACCGTTAGCAGCGAAGCAACAGGGATGATTAGCTGACCCAGCACGTCATCTTTCTCAGTGACCGTGAAGAACACATGGTCGCTGGCATTAGCGACAGGTCTAGGAAAAGAAATATGAATTAAAAACATTTTTGTTTTCACTACACAAAAGTCAAGAACTAAATGACATGAGTTTTCATGTAAATACTTTTTTTCAACCTTTTTATAAGCTTTACATTAGCTCGCTTTTGTTTGTATGTTTTTGCATTTGATTATTACATATTTCATGATGAGCTATCACACTGAAATTTTGCGCTCACACGCTATGTGAATGATAATGCAATGTTATGCAACATTAATTAAAAAATTTTCATGGGTTTTTGTGGCAAAGTGGTCAAACCATTTGTCTCACACTCTAAAGGTGATGTGTTCATTTCACGAACTGTTCGTGGTGCAATTTTTATAGAGATCCTTGAGAACTGTTGGTTGAGCTACAGAATGTGTGCTTTGTAAAATGCTCACAAAATGCTCTTAACTGTTCTAAAGAGAGAAATCAATCTATATAGGATCAAGTCTGGCGCAATGAAGTTGGCTTTAGGTCACTTTGTAATCACTGGCAGCCCCAGTATAACCCTGTGGCCGAACAGGGTTTTGGGATTTGTCCCTGGGGACTCTCATCCGATCAGTGATGCTTTGCACTTTGCATCATTCCTGTGTGGGTTCCAGGACGCCATTGTGTTGAAAACATGAATAGACCCACTGCATTCCCCAACATGCATGTGGTAAGAGTGAACTAATAGGGGGAATTCCTTCAAAGTCCAAGTGCATTTGCCTGCGAGGCAAGGTACCAACAGTCTGCATACAAAAAACCATGGTCTGTGAAACGGATGCACATGCAAAACTAAGGTCCTGGAATAAAGCCAAAGTCTAGAAATGGATGAACAACCAGGTTTTTCCACAGGGGTTTACAGCCAGTTAACACAAACAAACAATAACTTTGCATTACAGGGTGGTAATTGCTCAGTGTGCGGTGCGGTCCTAGTGGAGTTCAGTTACACTCATAAAAAGATGCATCCTAATAATAAAGCCAGACAAAAAGAGAAACTACGTGGAATCTTTTTCTTCTTCTTCTTCACGTTCACCGGCCGCAAACTTTGGCGGAAAGTTCTGGTTGTTCGCCCACTTTTGGACAACAGTCCTGTTTCAGAACCTGAGTGTTGTGTGTGCATCCATTTTACAGAACTGACTCATTTGTGTGCAGACTGTTGGTTCCTTGTCTCTCAGGCAGATGCACTCTGACTTTGAAGGAAGATCCCAATAAGCTGACTCTTACCACATGCTTTTGTGTAGGCAGTGGGTATATTTTTGTTTTCCCTATAATAGGGCCCCAGAACCCACACAGGGAACTATGTAGAACAACATTCATGTTGATAAACACTTGCAGGTATGAACACACCCGCAGTGGACATCAGTTTACTTCATAACCATCAGGTGCCCCAATATAACTGTTGTTTCATTGAATGGGGGTTTCTGGAATTTGCTCCTGTTGGATTATCATCAGAGAAGTGTCTCTTTGAGTCACTGGGTGTTAATCTTTCAGAATACAATCCTAGAGGGAGGAAATTAAAAAGAGTTTTTAAAAACATAATGTTAATGTATCACCACATTACTGAGCCAAAGGATAGAGCTCTAGGCAATGCTGGAATGATAAAAACAACATATGCTAAGAAAGAAAGCAGCTAGTAATTAGATAGAAAGGTGACAACATTTGAAGAGTACAATAATCCTTGAAACTTTTTTTTTAGGTAATCAATATTTGCAAAACGTGTACTCACATTAAAGATTCCTCATTCCAGTCTGGATTTCCGTTTGACTCTTTGACAACATGAGTACGGAACTTTTTAGTGCCTATCCCAAATATCACAGAAAACTTGTGCCTGCCTGTGAGAGTCAATGGTAGGATGTTAGTGAATTATGTCACCATGAGAAAATGAAAACTAATTTTGGGCCATCTGATGAAAAGACTCACCATTCTGTCTCAGGAATATAATTTGACACCCATGTTTCTGGCCAAGTAAATCTCAGTCAAAGATAGTGAAGTAATAGCAAATTACAGAACAGCGTAGAACTGATACACACACACACATACACATACAAAAAAGAAAACAGACAAATTTGAAGCTTAGAAATTTTGTTTTTATGATGAGTGGACAAGTAAAGCTTAAAGATGATGTGATAATTATTACTAACAAGCAGACCAGACAACCGATGAAAGAACAAGACAAGAAAACTAATTCATTACAAAAATGAGAGTATAGCACCCCAGAAAAAAAAGAAGAAAAAAAGCCGACAACTGATGTGAAAAGTTATTTTTTTTTTAAAGTGCAGACAATTTTTTGTAAAAGAAGTGAAAGAGTGAGTATATATGTGTGTACACGCACGTGCGCATGCATGCATGCACGCATGCCCACACACAAAACGCAAAAAGAGCAGAAAGAAAAAGCAATACAACCATACAAACAACCACAAATTATGAACTTCATGAAATTCATCACTAATATTTTAAAGACAGCTTAAAGCATAACAATGCTGAAGGAAGCCAAGCAAACAGCACAGTAAATATAACAAATACAAGCAAAGGGGTGTCCAAGAAGAAGACAGGATGACAAATGTAGAACTTCTAAACAAGTTAGGGCTGTGGCAAAGTTATTGGAGAATAGACAGTTGGAAGCAGGTGTTGGTAACAGCAAACAGCCTTACAAGATACAGAAGCCCAGAAAGAAGAAGGGCCATAAATCAAGATGTCTCTGTTCCTGAACCCAGCAGCAAGTGTTAATTTGATCTGAATGTAAATAATGATCAATCTGAGACCACTGACACCTCCATACCTCTTGTCATTGCATGACACACCTGTAACGGCCAGGTAAATTTGCTATCCTTTTATGGCAAGCATTTCTTCAAAAGATGCCTAGCATTTATTCAATGTCATAAGAGCCATTGCCCTAAGCTGTAACTGTGTGTAAAAAAAACAAAAGCAGTAAGGGTCCCTTTTTCATGCTTCTAGGTGTATATGGCTGGACTTATTTGCTTATAAACCGATAGGCACAAGATGGATGATGTGGTCAGCATTCTGTCGGCAGCCTTTACTTCCCGTGACTGAACTCGGTACCCACTCAAGGCTGGTTCGACCTAGGAGTCAATGTCATTTTTTTTTTAAAGTCTGGCTGCGCCAGAGAGCGAACCCATAAACTTTCAATCCACATGCAAGTGTCTAACCACTACGCCATGGCAACTCCCTTAACCGTGTGTGACTAGTTTATAAAAACATTAAGTGGTTAAAACCGGCCCCAAAAGATACATCCCTACACATCTGAGACAACAATAGATTCTGTCTAACAATATATCTCCAAATACCACTCCTCATGGCTCATTACTTTCCTTACTAAATACTTCTATTCTCATTATTTTCCTGTTTAATTACACCCAGTGCTAAGGAGAAGGAGGGGGAGATACAGACGATGAGAAAAAGATGCTAAGTACATTCATAATTAGCGTCTGTGGCTTGGGCATTGCAAACAGGCTTTGTAATGCCGGGTTCGATCCTAGCTGCAAGCCTTGCATCTTGCATTGGTTTCAACACTGGTATCGAGAAGCCGACCCTCCAGACAGCAATGGCAAACTACTGGATGTAAATTTGCCTAGAAAAACCACAACAGCTAAAAAATGCTGGTGTTGGTTCTGCAACGTCCTGTAAAGGATGCGCAACCAACTTAACATCCATAATAGAGAATGAAAAGAAAAAAATAGACAAAGAGCCGACCTAGGGTTGGTGTTGATGTGAGATGGCAAAGAATCATCACTAACGTATACAAGAATGATGATGATAAGAATGATGCTGATGACAAATGATGAAAGGTTAGAAAAGATCTGCAGGTAGTGCATGCTTAAGAACTCAGAGTGGCCATTATATGCATGTGAGGATGGAAATAAATGGTGCTTTCAGTAATACATTCTTAAAGTCAGTAGGGCCAGTTATGGGAAGAAAGAAATCTAGGCCACTAACTTTCATAAATTGCTCGCTTCATCCCCCACCCCTTTCATGGTTATACATTTTAAATATTTCCTTTTCTGTTTTACATCAGTATAGTTTAGAAGAAACAAATATTGTGGGAACAAACTAAATGTAAACCTAAAGCATATGTGAACAGTCATTGAGACAGAAAACAAAACACCTCAAACATGGGGAAATGCCAGGGTTTTCAAGAGATAAAACAGCACAACTTAAACAACACTACATTCATGTGTAGAAGTGTCAGTGTTAGGTGTGTTAAACCGCAACACTCGAAAAGGGTCTATTTGCTGAACTGTCTGTCAAGCAACATAGGTTTGTAGCTCTGGTGTTGCACCTGACAGGACAAGAACTCCCGGCTATGTGCAAGCCCTTCCCATCAGTCATCCTTGATGACAGTACAGTACAGGCAGACGGTGGCATACATTCACAACAGATTATGACATCTCACACACATACAAGAAGACACACAAAGGTCATAATGAGTCACATATTACCTGGCTTCCTTCCTTGAAGTCCTCTTGCACCATGCACTAAATAACCAAATAGAAGGATGTAAACATGTTAGCGAAAGTCTCACAACAATATTCAGACATTTTAAGTCTCATACATTAACATATATTTTAACAAGTACTGTGGATTTAATAAGTCCATCAACAATTTACAGATGAGAAATAATCTTTACTATAATAGTGTGGGCAAGCAAAACACAAGAAACTAGAGTGAAAGAGACAAAACACCAGGGACTACAGTGAGGGAGACAAAACACCAGGAACTACAGTGAGGGAGACAAAACCCCAGGAACTACAGTGAGGGAGACAAAACACCAGGAACTAGACATTAAGCTCAGTATTATTAGTAAGCTACTGAGAGATGACATAACACACAAAAAGCAGTAGACCAGTATAGTAAAGACCTAGAAAAAAAGATCCATTTTAGTGGCATCATCGGGTATATGGTGCTAGACCCATATTTTGTATAGACCAATGAACGATGAATCAAGAACTAACATCACTGAACTCAGGACATTCCTCATGTGCTCTGTCTCTCTCCTTTCTCAGCAGCCAATGAAGTCGACATGCTTGCTGGGGCCCCGGAACCCACACACAAGGACAGCCTAAAGCTGAAACATTCCTTATGGCAAAGCATTTCTTTTGTATACCTGGGAGCCGAACAAAACACTGTTTCCTGTGGGATATACTTGTCTTTATCCCCGCTAGACATTAAATCTGCTTCCTGATTGCATAATTCACTGCATCTTTATTTCTGAATTTCTAAGCGAATAACTGAACTTTCGACTCATGAGCATAAGAGAGTGTCTTTACCTTTAACAATACATTCTTGACCGAACATATGCACCAGTCGAATTATGCTGAATAGACAAATGGCACTTTACTTAAAGTGTTGTGACTCCTAGATAAGGGTATTTCAATGACTGAAATGAATTCTGTCCGTATTATAAAGTTGTGGATTTCAAGCTGTAAGATAGACGTGGCCAATAAGACACCTTTTTTTGGGGGGGGGGGGAGGGGGGGGTGCCTAGCTGACCATGTTCTTAGTGCACTTGTTTCCATAGCAAGGTGCACACGCCGTCTAGAGGTGACAGGTTCAATTCCCGGCACGGTAACTATAGCTTTCGATTTTTATGTTCCAGTGTGTTCTTCTATCTTTCTACTTCTTTCTATGAGTGCCGATCAATACATTTCCTGTTACTTTATTACTAGATAAGGGTTAGTTTGTCCATAGCTTAATAATAAACGCCTGGCAGCTTCAGTTAACTCCGATCCTCGGGGCGCAATATCCACGGAAAGTTTCACTGGTCTATGATAAATACTGGGCTAGCACATTACACTGGAAGGAGGGGGGGGGGTTTAAAACGGACCTTGACTCTTGGAATAGGCTTGCGACTGTAAATAAAATCGGGGAATGCTAACCTGGGCATGCCTGCATATGTCGGACGTGTCGGAAGAAAGGTACAAATAACGCAGCCATGCTGTAAACTGGAACAAATCTTCATCTTTACATTAACGCAAAAGAAAAAGAAATAAAATCACGGATAACTTGTTAAGAGACTGTGAATAAAAAGTGTCACTGAAAAAAAAAAAGGGGGGGGGGGGTGGGGTGAGGTGTGAAGAGATAAGTAAAATATTTCGGCCTCGGCATACATCTACTTTCTAAAATGTCCAACCTGGTAAACGTCCCGTTTAGACGCGAACATTTATTTTGCTTGGTTTACTACCTTTGAAATACGAACCGCGTGCTAGAACTTGTATGAATCAAAAGTCGAGCCACTGAGAACTAACCTTGTTTACCCATCTCTGGGGCTCGGAGGAGAAGGAGATGGGGGAAACATCTACTTCATGAATCAGGAAATGTTTGTTGCACAGATAGATGTCAAAAACTGTGCAGAGAAGTACACCCCCCCCACCCCAAGACATAACAAGCCGTAATAGCACTGTCTGTAAAAACATGACAAGGTCACATTACTAAAACATCACAGGAGCAGGCAGAAGTTCTTTGAACATAATTTTAGTAAAAGTCAAATCTGGTCAGCCTCAACCAGGTCCTAGTAGGAAAAAGAGACAAAAAGAAAAAACACCAGAATTTCTGATTCTTGAAATTTTATTGGAAGAGAAAGTTCCTTCCAAACAATAACATCTCCTGCTCTTCCGCTGAAGGCACTCGACTCTTTTCTTAAAGTGAGTTTGAACTTGTATTCATTTCATCTTATTGGATTTGTATTTATGTATTTCAGTCTTCTTCTTCTTCCTTCTATCCCCTAATGGAGCAAAGGCCCTCTATAAACTCAAGCCAAGTCATTCTATCTTTCGCTATTGCATGCAGCTCACACTCAAGGACAAGTCAAAAAATAAGGGGGGGGGGGGGGCGACAGGCAACCACTCAGTATTAAGCAGTGTTGAAATTATTTATACAACCCTACCAATGTACAATATGACAATAACAATACGCTCAAAAAAGGAACGGATTTATTCATTATTCGTTTATTTCTTATGGCAAAATTGTTTGCTATACGTCCTATTTAGTATACGTCTTGTTTGTTTGGTATAAGCCATGTCTGGTATACGTCCAAGGATCTCGAACGGATTAAGGATGTATATCCAGGTACCACTGCATATATACATATGTGTGTGTGTGTGTGTGTGTGTGTGATTAGTTTTACTGGTAAGCACTGCATGAACGGATTCCACAGACAAGAGATGTTGGGTTTGGTACGTAGGTTTACATGAAAAACAGGTTCACAAAATAAACACTAACATGCGCGCTGTTTGGTTGGTGACGTTTAGCCTTGAGAAGTGTTGCGACTGAAATAAGTGGTATTTTCATAAAGGCCACATGTGTGTGCGTGCCTGCGTTTGTCTTTTTGCAAAATGTACAGCACGCCACCAACACATGCCTACTCTGTAGCAACCACAAATAAAGGTGGCTCGTGTTTCCCAGACGCAACTCTCACTCTCCCCACAACCCCTTCCTGTACCGTCCCCATGTCAAAGATAGTGCGTATATGCGTCACATGTTTACTGTCCTCTGAGCCTAGTTTTCTGTACAGTGGAGATTAATTCAAAGACCTGTCCCTGCTTTTATTTCGCAGGAAATATCACCAACGTCGGCTGCCAGTAAATGCCCAAACAAATACAGGATACTACAAGATAGTGCAGCATTTGATCTGATGCAGAGTATGCTTTGTATGTGGTAAGACATAATTAGATTGCAAAGACTGTACATCGACGAATATAGGGGGGGGGGGGGGGGGGGGGGGGGGGGGGGGGGAGTCGAAGAAGAGGAGGGTATAAAGAAGAACCTGAAATGACAACATCAAGAAATAGACAGTACTAAGTTATCATATACTTATTCATCAAGCAGAAGACAGAGATAGACGGCGGGTTTATGTGTGCTAGTGCTTCCATCAATACACCTCCATGACCCTAACGGGTCAAGGGTTATGTTATGCTTTGTAACATACTCCTGCAGAAGAAAACCAGCAAACGAGTTTCTGGATGTTACTTATAGACCACATGACTGTATATCTATGGAGCATTGACACTAAATAACCAGGGCGCGCACAATGGAGGCCAGATAAATGTTTCTTATTGGAATGTCAAGAATTCCATAAGTGGTTAACTGTTTTGGTTTCAGTCAACGTGTAATTGGCTCTTCTATAAATCCCACCCAAATATCACGTGTTCATGAGATTTCTACATTTAGTCTGAACATTCTAATGAAATCTGGCTTCCCTGTATTTAGCTTCTTTGGAAGAAACAGATTAATGGGTCTTCTCATTCATTATTTATGACTCTTGGCATATTCTATGAAACTCCCCGTTAAGAAAACCGATTCCCAGTTACTGCAAGAGGCCAATTTGGCAAAAACGATTGCCAGAATCATGATACGGCGATTGTCATTTATTGGTCACGTCAAAAGTCGACAGAATATAAGAAGTTTGGAGGTTAGACAACTGGAAAGATGGCGGGCGCTAAGGATGGAGTTAGGGGGTGTGACCACAGAGATGACAGGTGGGTTGGTCCAGTGGCACGGAAGATCATCAAGAACATAAGGGATACATATCTGCGATGGAAACATCAACTGCGCCGCTCTATGCGGTACATACTGCCCAGTGAATCTCTACGTGGATGTGTCTTTGAAAATGTCCAGTACACGGGTTTCTGTGACATGACAAGTCCAAATGACTTTTATTCATAGACACACGCGAGGTCCTCGCGGAAACAAAAAACATACCAAGCATGTCGCAGGAGGCAACTAAAGGTAAGGTTGGGCTTAGGGTTGGCTACATCATCGCGTAAAATAAAATTGCCACAAAAACGAACCAACCCTGGTCAAGTCTAAGAGTAACCAGTAACACTCAGCCGTAGCCTTTGGCTATGACTCAGCCAACCAACATCACTAGAGAATGAAATAGGGGGACAGGGCGGAGGGGGTTGATGTGTGTGTGTGTGTGCGCGCGCGCGCTATTCTAATAGAAGAATAACACAGGGTAAATGCAATAGCAAAGGGTACGACGACATGGCTCCATTGTGAAATACAGGAAAGAAGAAAGATATTAATGAAAGACACGGCAGGGGAGTAAGTGTCAGGACAAAACAGAAAGAAAAACACGACAGATACAGACACACCGTAGTGCGAATCTATCCACTCCATATACGCAACCGCATATGTTCATATGGTGTATGTACTACGGGACATTCATAATTGAATGTGTGCGTGACCCACACCACACAGGAGGCCATTCAATTATCTATCCGGGGCCGCCTGCCAGTGCCGGCATGTTCACGTGACGTGCCAATCCATCACCAAACTACAGACTCGGAGCACATCGACGGACAGACAACGGGCTACACGCATTGCTACAAGCAGAATATAACTTCCGTTTTTCTTTTTTTAAACGTATCGACTCTGCTATTTATATACAGCCAAAAAATCTTGGCACGTGTAACTAACTATATAAGACGATATATATATATATATATATATATATATATATATATATATATATATA